CTCCGCCTCTTTGAAAGTGAAGTGTCCAAGGGAGCGAATTCATTTTCCAATTAAAAATCCCTCCACCTAAATGAACAAGGCCGTCCTTCCCCATACACAGAAGGGCCCTCTTAAATTTGGGGTACCACTGGGTCTTAATGTCCACCCACCTGCCTCTTCCTATCCCTTGTTCTGTGGCTTTGCTTTCTCTGGAGAGGATCTAGTGAATTTACAATTGAAAAGCCCCTCAGAGCTATGTGCAGAACATCAAACCTGTGAAAAAGCCGTTCAAGTGGTAATGAAACCAAACCGGCATTTGCCAACCCCAAGTCTATCCTGTCAATTTCTGGACTTACCGTGTTAGTCGACAGGACGTGAGTTCAAAATTTGCTTTAAAAACATTTCCTGAGTGTGTTGCTGAAATTTATAAAATCAAACCTCTAAAAAATTCTCCTTCCTCTCTCCCTTGGGCTGCTGTCGGGCACAGACGCACCAGTTTGATAGGACTGCCCAGGGCCCCTACATCTTAACAACGTCCCAGTCAATGAGCCCCTGAAACTAGCTCTGACTCCTGCTGGTTCTAGCGTGCCTTTTGGCTCTGCTGAGGGAAATTATGAAGAATTGGCCCAGGGAGATTCATGAACCAGTGGGGGACTGGTGACCGCTTCAGAGTCAGGGTCTTGCCTCACGCACGGCTCATTCAAGCTGATAGTGACCAAACTGGGCCTCGCCACTGCACTTGGCGGTTCAATACTTCCATTGCGTGACAGTGAAATAGCCCCAAATTGTGTGTCCTTAAATCAGTGTTTCTCAATCAGTGTTCCATGGGACCCTGGGGTTCTGCAGGCCATCGTCAGGGGTTCCACGAGAAATCGTGGAATAAATAAATACATTTTTTTTTCTTACAATGAAGGGCTTACTTATATATAGAACAGCTCTTTACAAATACATTTTCTGGACAATAATTTAGGAGTAATTGAATTGTGCTCCCCGCTGTCAACTTTTTCTGGCCAAGTAAACGTTTTCATAGGTTGGGGTTCCTCGAGATATGAAAAATTATTTTAGGGGTTCCTCCATGGGAAAAAGGTTGGGAATCGCTACCTTAAATCATGACTTGATTAAACAGATGACACAAAAGACCTTGGCCTCCATTTTGTATAAAGTGACTCTATGACTCACTTCAGAGGCATCTAATCCGAACAACAATCTCTTAATGTTTTAAGGATACAGCCTTTTCTACATGTGAAACACCAGAGAGGGCGTGGGAAGCTATAAAACCTTGTGGCCTGAGGATACTGAAGCATTTGAAGCCGTAACATTATTCCTACCTATAAATTTGATAGGCCTAGAAAAAGAGGGTCATTGAGGTGAAGGTCACAGGAGGAACAGTTGCAGATAAAGAACTACAACCATCTACTTCTGAGTCTTCCTACCCCAGGCGTGGCTCTCGGTTGATCCCTGTTACGTTGTGTTACAAGAGAAGGCTAGTAAAATGCTTGCATCCTGTTATGGAAGCATTAGCAATAAAAAAGTGTTCGATGCTGTGATTCCCTTTAACTGTGGCTTCTCTGTACCTGAAGTTAATGCTTCTCTAAAGGAATTACAAATGTGGTAGCATTGTAAATATTAATATCAAGTTCAGGCTTAAAACTCTTGTTTTTAAATCATAGCCTCAAATGCAGTGAAGTCATCAAATGCACATTGTGTGCTACTTTTTCTCTGCTTGGAATGGCACCACTTTCGTGGATCACAGGAACACAAAAGTAATGAAGTGTTTGTTGTTTGTGAAGTGAGTTGCAGAGTAGCAGATATCTTCAACATTACCTTCTTTATGCTTGAGGATAATAATGATCCAGAAGAATTAGAATCATAGAGTCATAGAATACTAGGACTGGAAGGGACCTCGAGAGTCATCGAGTCCAGTCCCCTGCCCTCATGGCAGGACCAAATACTGTCTAGACCATCCCTGATAGACATTTATCTAACCTACTCTTAAATATCTCCAGAGATGGGGATTCCACAACCTCCCTGGGCAATTTATCCCAGTGTTTAACCACCCTGACAGTTAGAAACTTTTTCCTAATGTCCAACCTAAACCTCCCTTGCTGCAGTTTAAGCCCATTGCTTCTTGTTCTATCCTCAGAGGCCAAGATGAACAAGTTTTCTCCCTCCTCCGTATGACACCCTTTTAGATACCTGAAAACGGCTCTCATGTCCCCCCTCAATCTTCTCTTTTCTAAACTAAACAAACCCAATTCTTTCAGCCTTCCTTCATAGGTCATGTTCTCTAGACCTTTAATCATTCTTGTTGCTCTTCTTTGGACCCTCTCCAATTTCTCCACATCTTTCTTGAAATGCGGCGCCCAGAAATGGCTACACTACTCCAACTGAGACCTAACCAGCACAGAGTAGAGCGGAAGAATGACTTCTCGTGTCTTGCTCACAACACTGATGCTGTTGCCAAAAAAGCAAATATGATTCTAGGTTGTATCAACAGGTGTGTTGTAAGCAAAACTCGTGAAGTCATTCTGCCGCTCTATTCTGCAAAGAGTACACATTTGATGGAGTACTGTGTCCAGTTCTGGGTGCCACATTTCAAGAAAGATGTGGAGAAATTGGAAAGGGTACAGAGAAGAGCGACAAGAATGATTAAAGGTCTAGAGAACATGACCTATGAAGGAAGGCTGAAAGAATTGGGTTTGTTTAGTTTAGAAAAGAGAAGATTGAGGGGGGACATGAGAGCCGTTTTCAGGTATCTAAAAGGGTGTCACAAGGAGGAAGGAGAAAATTTGTTCCTCTTGGTTTCTGAGGACAGGACAAGGGCTTAAAGTAATGGGCTTAAAGTGCAGCAGGGGAGGTGTAGATTGGACATTAGGAAAAAATTCCTAACTGTCAGGGTGGTCAAATATTGGAATAAATTGCCAAGGGAGGTGGTGGAATCTCCCTCTCTGGAGATATTTAAGAACAGGTTAGATAGACATCTGTCAGGGATGGTGTAGGTGGAGCTTGGTCCTGCCTTGAGGGCGGGGGGCTGGACTCGATGACCTCTTGAGGTCCCTTCCAGTCCTATTATTCTATGATTCTATGATGGTCATTTCTGTTGGCTCATTGGGTTAGGGGTATGACCTTTAATTAGGGTGCGCGAAGTTATGGGTTTCAAGTCTGGATGAACCTCACCTTTCATGGGGTTCCACAGGGATCCGTTTTGGGACCGGTGCTGTTCAAGATCTTTGTCAATGATTTAGATATTGGCATAGAGAGTACACTTAGAAAATGCGCGGATGATATCAGAATGGTAGAGTTAGGAAGAGCTTTGGAGGATGGGATTATCATTCAAAGTGATCTGGACAAATGGGGAAAATGGTCTGAGGGAAATCATGGAAGGGATCCTCAAGAAATACATTTTGAAGCACTTGGAAGAGGGGAAAGTGATCAGGAACAGTCAACATGGATTCACTCAGGGCAAGTCATGCCTGAAAACCTGATTGTCTTTTATGAAAAGGTAACTGGCTCTGTGGATATGAGGAAGGCGGTTGACATGACATACCTTGACTTTAGCAAAGCTTTTGATACGGTCACCTCCAGTATTCTTGCCAGCAAGTTAAGGAAGTATGGACTGGATACACAGACTGTAAGTGGATAGAAAGCTGGCTAGATTGTCGGGCCCAACAGGTAGTAATCAACGGCTTGATGTCTGGTTGGCAGTCGGTTTCAAGCGAAGTGACCCAAAGGTCAGTTCTGGGGCTGGTTTTGAGGGGATGATTTACAACTTCAGGAAGTTTCTCAGATGACCTGAGGCTAGGGAGAGAGGTAGGTACGCTGGCGGGTAGGGATTGGGTCCAGAGTGACCTAGACAAATTGCATTGTTGGGCCAATGGAAATCTGATAAGGTTCAACAAGGAAAAGCGCAGAGTTCTGCCCTTGGGACAGAAGAATCCCAAGCATTGGTACAGGTGGGGACCAACTGGCTAAGCGACAGTTCAGCAGAAAATGACCTGGAGATTATAGGAATGAGAAGCTGGATTTAGGTTGACAGACTGCCCTTGTAGCCAAGAATGCTAACGCCATGTTGGTGTGCATTAATAGGAGCATTGCCAGCAGATCTAGGGAAGTGATTATTCCCCTTTATTCCACACTGATGAGGACACATCTGGAGTATTGCATCCAATTCTCCCCCCCCCATTACAAAAGGGATGTGGATGCATTGGAGGAAGTCAGCAGAGGGCAACAAAAATGAGTAAGGTGCTGGAGCACATGATTTATGCAGAGAGGATGAGGGTTTTGAGCTTATTTACTCTACAGAAGAGAAGAGTGAGGGGGGATTTGGTAAAAAGTCTTCAACTTCCGGAAGGGGGGTTCCAAAGAGGATGGAGAGAGGCTGTTCTCAGTGGTGGCAGGTGGCAGAACAAGGAGCAATGGGCTCAAGTTGCAATGGGGGAGGTCTAGGTTGGATATTAGGAAAAACGATTTCCCTCGGAGGGTGGGGAAGCGCTGGGCTGGGTTCCCTAGGGAGAGGGTGCAATCTCCATCCCTAGTGGTGTTTAAGGCCTGTCTGGACCAAGCCCTGGCTGGGATGATTGAGTTGGGGTTGGTCCTGCTTTGGGCAGGGGGTCGGACTCGATGACTCCTCAGGTCTCTTCCAACCCTGGAATTCTAGGATTCAATGAAAGGGCCATACTGGATTCCTTTCATAACTGCCACTTGTGTTTCACCTTGATATTCATTGTCACTGCAGCACCAATAAAGTCAATGAAAGGACACGAGAAATGTACTTGGCCTTTGCAATTTGAAGATGAAAGAAAGCATAAAAGTGCAACGTGTGTGTCCCGCCCGCTGAGGCTGAGATTATCTCAGTAATCACCAACGCTGAAGCAAACGGCTCCAGCCAAAGGAGGACTTACGAAGCAATCACATTTGTTTGGTAAATAATTTGGCCCTCTTCCACAAAGCATCCCAGAGCCTCCAGGCCACTGTAGGAATGGTATAAAAGAGCTCTCGACGGAGGGCTCTCATAAACACTTCTCTGAACTTCGTCTCCTCAGTGTACCAGGTAAGTCCAATTTTTACTCAGTCTTTCAAACGCTAATCATACCTCAATAGAGGAGATTTTCCTTTAGGACTGAATGATTTTCATCAGGCATCAGGATGTTCTTCCATAATTATCTTGTGCAGCTTTTTCAGGGGCTTTTGGTTACATGATTTCAAGCAGGTGGCCACTCAAAGCAATATATGCATTTGAGAATCATTCTTCCTTTTAACTGGATGCAGAATGAGAGTACTGAAACCTTTGTAGTATCTTTAGAAACTCCTTTAACCATTTGTCACTGAATTAGATTAGAAGGATGATAGCCCAGGGAACTCCAGAAAGGGCAGATTCATTGCTCTTCTACGTTATTCTGAAGCAGCTGTTACTTCTCACTATTGAAGACATGAGACTGGATTAAGCTGACCAGGGTTTGAGCCAGTATCGGAATTCCTATGTTCTTCTGAACAAAAGGACCATGGAAGATGCTTCTCCCCACACTGTGTGATCTGGGGTTGGTCCATAGAATTTGGGGGATGTGAACCCATTTTAACCCAGTTAAGGAGCATGTCCTCAGAGATTTGTTTGGAAAAACTAAAAGTGTCTGTTTATTCATCAGCATGTGTGAATAGCCATGAGGCATAGAATAAGGAAACAGGAACAAATACATGGCCATTAATATAGGGGATTTGTCCCCTCCTCTTTTCTCTCGAGCACCATGGCTTCCCACAGCAATAGTAACCAAGCTTTGAAATGTTTCTTCCACTGGCACTTGTATCTTCTCTTCACTCTGCTCCCTGCTGTGTGTTCCAGGTTTACCTGCATCCCACCGAGATGGCTTTCTCCAGCCTGTGCTATCCAGAATGCGGGGTGGCCCGGCCCAGCCCCGTCTCTGGTACCTGCAACGAGCCGTGCGTTCGGCAGTGCCCTGACTCCGAAGTGGTGATCAGACCCTCCCCGGTTGTGGTGACCCTCCCCGGACCAGTTCTCAGCACCTTCCCTCAGCAGAGCGAAGTGGCAGCCGTAGGAGAACCTGTGGTGGGAGCCGGCTACGGGGGCTCCTTCGCTAACGGGGGATTGTACGGCTATGGAGGCCGTTACGGAGGGTTGTTCGGTTATGGGGGTTATGGTTATGGAGGCCGTTACGGTTATGGGGGCTTATGGGGCTACCCAGGCTTTTATGGTAACGGAGGGTACTGGGGCTACCCAGGACGTTATGCTCACGGGGGATACTGCGGCTACCCAGGCTTTTATGGTAACTGGGGGTACTGTGGTTACCCAGGATATTATGGTGGATTATGCGGTGGATACGGGGGATATGGCCGCAGGTACCTTGGCGGATACTGTGGGCCTTGCTAAACCCAGCAGGACAATCCGTGGCAGACCCAGGCAATGAACGGCCGGATACAGATTCCCCCCTGAGCTTTGGGGCTTGGCTTTCAGACGTGCTGGGCAAACCCGGCTCCAGCTGAGCTCAGTGGGAGCTGTGTGTGCTCAGCCCTGGGTCTGGGAGCCAGGCTGCATTGCTCCCCTCACGCTTCATGGCTCCTTCTGCTCCTGCTTTGCCAGCCCCGCGCTGAGTCTCCTCCTGGCCTGTGGGCTCCTTCTGAGTGACACGCAGGCTGCTCCCACCGACCCCGCTGGGTGACGGAAACTGGGGTCTGAGGAAACACCTCAGTAACACAGATTGTCATTGTAAGTTCCTGTATGTGGGGGAGAAAAGATATATTGCTGTCCAGGAGAAAATCTTGTCTGAAATGTGCCTCTTTGGGGTGGGTGATCAGTTGTAGCCCTTCTTAAACTCTGCAAATACCTTTCTTCCTGTTCTATTGAATTCCTTCCTGTGCGTACTGACAATTCCATGTGCATTAAAAACCCTTCTGCATCATAATATCAGTTTTCTGGTTTTCCTTGTTCCTCCCGCCATCTGGAAAAATCTCTTTGGACAAAATCGCTCCCTGTCGAGCTGCTCACACCAGGAACTTCTCGCATTTCAAATTTTGAAGCCCTGCAGTCTTTGGAGAGTCCAGTCCTTGTGGGCTGCTGTTCCTTCTCGAATCGCCTGTTTTAGCAAAGAGTCTCTCTTCTCCTTTGAACTATATGCAGCTGGAACCCCCTTTTTCCTCCCCGGGTTACTCAGGAGCAGGTCACACTCACAGGTGTGCCTGGGCGCCTGATGGTTTTAACATGCAAGGAGATCCTGAGCACCCCAGTGGTGACGCTGTTTAGCTGGGGATTCTCTATCTACTGCCTCTTGCTGCAGCCTCTTGCTCATAAAGAACATATAATGGCAGTGCCTTCACCTGGCTGGCCCTGTACACAGTTAATGGTATGCCTTGGGAGCCTCCAGGAATAAAATTATTCCAGCAATAATCTGGACCTAACTCCAGGATAACAATTATAAATAATATACATCTAAAATGAACACACCTTTACTTAACACCTTCAAGAAACAGAGTTTAACAGATTCACAGTGAATAAAATCAATTAACAAAGTACACAGAAGTAATAGGAACTTATCTCGCTGGCATTTGCACTGCCACCATCTATCCCACCCCAGAGCGTGCCCCCCTCTGGACTCAGAGTCCCAGACTCTTGCTTGTGTGGGCGGGCTTGAAGATCCGCACCTGGAGTGAAGGTTCTCTGTAGGTTGTGAGTGTGTTAGTTCCAGCTGTGCAGCCAGCTGCAAACTCCCTCTGCCGCTGGAGCAGGCTCCACCAAATGCCAGCCCAGAGCGTGCCCCCCTCTGGACTCAGAGTCCCAGACTCTTGCTTGTGTGGGCGGGCTTGAAGATCCGCACCTGGAGTGAAGGTTCTCTGTAGGTTGTGAGTGTGTTAGTTCCAGCTGTGCAGCCAGCTGCCAACTCCCTCTGCCGCTGGAGCAGGCTCCACCAGACGCCAGCCGTTCTGGGTCACTGGGCTGGCCGTTCTGCCTCTCTTTGGACCCAGAGTTAGTCTCTATCTCTGAGGTCTGTCCCAGGCAGCACTTTCCCAAAGAGCCCAGTTACTTACAGCCTCCTTCTGTGTGCTGGTCTGTGTAGCCATTCCCAGCCAGGGGCTCTCCCCTCTAGCGCAGTCAGCTGCCCCAGAAGCAGCCTGCTAGATCCAAGCCCCACAGGCTCACAGTCCCAGGCTGTAGCTGCAACATAACAGCTCCTGGATGGCATAATGCTCCTCCACAGCAACCTGGCTCCTTTGTCCCAAAATGGAGAATCCCCCAGACTGCCCCTGAGACTCTCTCTCCACATGCCCAGACATGCCCTCTCTTCCTCAAGGGCTCATGGGAGTTGTAGTCTCTAGGCTAGAATGCAGCACATAGTATCTTTCCAGAAAAAGTCAGAGGCACCTTTAGTAAGGGAACTGCACAATGATCAGTGGCTCGGGGAAGCACCTGTTTTGATGCGAGAGGACCTTGTAGCATAGACATCCTAGCTTGTGCCCTATGTGACCACAAGCCTACAGGTCGAGCCCCCAGGAATCCTGGGACCAGCCTGGGAGGGATGACGAGGACACTGGAAGGTGGTAGGAGAGACCTTGAGATGGGGATTGCTCTGTGCCAAGGGAATGTGAGCCAGGACTCAGATCCTGACTCAGATCATGTGACTGAGCAGTATATAAGCCAGGAAGGTTTCCACCGGAGCAGGACCATTCCCTGCTTTCAGAGAGGATACAGCCTACCAAGCAAACCAGTGTTGTGAGTGCTCCCCCGTGCAGTGGGATGCGATGGGATAGTTTTGATGGATCGCACATCTCAAGAGTCAACGAGAGGAATGTTAGGTATTTAGACTGCTTGGCCTAGACACTGACTCCTTGGGGGCTGTCTGGCTGGAGCTTCCACGGGGAAAAATGAAAGGGTTCTCCTCACTCGTTTTCTGCCAAGCTCCCCCTTCTCCTATACCACCTCTTGCCTGTCAATGCCCCACTGACTAAACACCTCCGCTTCCCTCCCAGCTCCTCCTGCCTGCCAAGAGCCATTTTTTCACAGCTTCAGGACACTCTGGGAAGAAGGGAGGGAAGGAGGGGAGGAGCAGGGATGGGGCGTGCTCGGAGGAGGTGTAGAAGAGGCAAGGTGGGGTCTTGGGAAAAGGGGTGGAGCTGGAGTAGTGCCTGGGTGTGTCAGGGACCCCCCTGGCTAGAGAGGAACTTGGCGCCTGTGCTTCTCAAAGCCAGGATGGCCTGTTTTAGTAGAGTGTTTCCCTTCAATGACTTAGTCCGGGTCCACACTGGCAGAGAAAATCGATGCAAGATACGTAATTCCAGCGTAGTTGAAGTTCACATATCTTGCACTGATTTTCTGAGGCAGCCCCATAGCGGGCTCCCGTTGACTGCCCTTACTCCTCGCGTCAGCTTGGGCTTGGAGTGAGGAGTTCCAGTGCCAATGGGGGCACCTTCAGCCTTTGATTTAGCTGGCCTTTACTAGACCCACTAAATCGAGCCCAGGAGGAATGATCACCAGAGTGTCGATCCTCCAGCAAGTGGAGACGTGGCCATTGGCAGATTTTCATGTTCTGAATATAAGTTGTGTCTTTGATTTCAAGAAGACCAATAACTTGGTTCATTTTAAGCCTCTGGGGGAGTGTGACAGGGTGGACTAGGCCCCGATATCCCTGATGGAGGCCTTTCCACACTCTGCCCAGGAACAGGAGCAGAAGAGAGGTCCTCCAAGCAGAATAGAGTGGCAGCTTGTGCTGCAGCCAATCAAGGCGCAGCAGACCCATATAAAAGAAGCTGCTGAGCCAGGGTTTGGCAGTTCCTTCCTGGAGCTCAACCCATGCAGACCAGCAGCACTCTGGACAGCTCCGAGCGGGAGCTGGG